GCCCCAGTTCTGCACAGATCGCTGACACAGCAGACCCCGAGAGAACCCCCAAAGACCACAGACTCTAGTAAGGTACGAAGGCACCCGAGCAAGGTTTATTGACAAACAAAGCACAGTAAGTTTCCTGTAGACTCTACAAGACATACTATGAATTTGTGCCCCCTGGCAATGGACCGACTCAGTCAGTCAGACTTTCCACTGCCCCCAGGCCAGACAAAGGTGTGAACTCCGGGACCTACTTTTATACAGTTACAGGACAAATTACTCATCCCTACTGACGTATTGAGATACAGCCCCATGGCTCATTAGGGTGCTGTCTCCCCCTTTGATCATGTTGTTTCAAACAAATCTATCCATCATGCTGTCCTTTTGACCCTATCTTTAATATGCACCTGCCTGTTCCTTGTTATCTCTGTGGGGTGTGCTGATGTCATCTTGGCACAAGTTCCTCTTATTAGCACTTACGTGTGGATGCACCTGCTTCTAGCAACCCTCTTCTCACCAACTTCTGTGAGTGGGGCCTGCCTCTGGCTCACAGCCCAGCTTTTGCTTAGCAACGCCTGGAAGTACTTTGGTTCAGGCTTCAGACTGGGCCTTTGATACAAGAGTTTATGTTTCAGGGCCTCATCTTACTATAAATACCAATAGTCAGAAGTGGAATTTGTATAGGTCCCAATTCAGCAGTCTGTCCCTATTCAGCAAAGCACTTGATGATGATACTATAATACTTAGATCTTACATCGTGCTTTTCATCCAAGATCTCAAAGCACTTTACAAAAGAAGTAGGTATCCTTAGCTCCATTTTACAGCTAGGGAAACTGCAGCACAGGGAGGTAAAGTTACCCAAGGCCATGTTTAATGCTTTGCTAGTCGGAGTACAGGACTAGAAACCAGGATATCCTGAGCTTTGCCACTGACTGTCCTTTGACCTTGAACTAGTCATTGAACCCCTCTGCAAAATGAAGATAATATTGGGATGCTAAGAATTAATGTTTATAAAGTATTGTGAAGAAGAAAAGCCCTGCTCACATTCTAAGTATTTAAGTAGTTAAAAGTGAATTGGGTACTATAAGGATGTCTCCTGCAGAACTTGAACCTATGTTGTTTATCATCTTTAACCAATTAGTTAGACTGTGGGTGTATGCACACAGCTCTCGTTAGCAGCACGCAAGCATCCAAAGGCAGAATTTGGCCCTTCATACGAAGTTGGTTTGTAACTCAGTAGAGCTGCAGCATCAGGATTTCTAAGTTTTTAGTGGATAATAAAATTACTTTAAAATAAAAGACAAAAACTTGGTGTGCAAGTTGTTTTAGTCTGGTTTTTTTTTTTTTTTTAAATGCTCTAAGTTCTCTTCTAGATTTTCTTTATACCAAATTAAGGACATTAAAAAAATATAATCTTTCAGCAAACCCATTTCTCTGCCAAGAACAGGCTGTACTGCATAGCAAAACGTTCCTTTAACTTTGAACATTTAGTTGGGCTTCAATATGACCACTTGTTTCAGTGAGGGGAGTGCACTTTTGTTAAAACTAACATGCTTCTCTATTGTTTTCTTAGGACAGTCTGTTCTGCGTGGTAGCTGCATTTGGCTGTTTCTACTACTGATGCCGGTGAAGAACAGAAAAGAACTACAGTGATTTTAGAGAGGCTTTTTAGCTTGTTTGGTTTTCTTCAATAACTTGTACTCATGTTTTCTCAAAGTAGCAGACTTACAATTGTACAAAGCATGCTCACTGTATCTCTAGAATACAAGACTTGTGTCCACAACTTCCTCTTCTTTCCTGCTTGTATAAATATAGCTTTGTAGCATTTTGTTTTTCTTTTGTCCTTTTAATCATCCTTCCTGCTTTGTGCAAAATGGATTTATTAACTCCCAGGAGCCAGATATAGTGCCTTAAAAGGACTAGATTGCTTTGATTAGTAGTGACTTGTTTCCATAATGTAATAAATATTTATGAGCAATGTAATATAATAAATACAATTGTATATATTATACCTTTTCCCAGCTTTGTCCAGCCCTGTGTAGCTGAATTTGTCTCTTCTAGTACTAGCATCTGCTCCCCCCACTCCACCAAATACGCCAGATTTGAATGTTCGTATAGCTGCTTCTTCCACAAATGTCTCCATGTTTCCTGCCAGGGCTAGAATGCCCTCCTACAGCTAGGCCAGAAGGCCACTATCCTGTCCTCTTGTAAATCCCTCATCAAGACCACCTATGGCTGTGATGCCTATAAGAAACCGCGGTTCAATCTAGCTAATGTTAATTGCCAGTCTGGGAGAGCTGATATTTAGGAAGAAAAACAATTAAAATGATTCAGAGCCATTAAGGCGGACTCATTATTAGCCTGTGTGACTAATGATTCTATTACTGTTACCCTCCTCCTTCCTTCCTGTCATTTGCTAAACTCACTGGTAGCATCTTGTTTCACATTAGGCCTAGATCTTGCAAGCACTGGCAACTCGCATGCTTAACTTAGCATGTGAGTTATCTCGTTGCCAAGTTAAGCATGTGCTTAAGTGGTTGCAGGATCGTGGCCTCAGTTTCTAAGCACTATGGGGCAGGGACCCCGTCTACTTACTTGTCCATGCAGAGCCCATCACAGTAGAACTCCAATGCTGAGTGGGATCGCTGGATGTTACCATAATATAAATTAGCAAACAAAACCTATGTTTAGTGTCAGTTAAGATTGCAGCAGGGTACGTCCCTCCATCCAGACCCTTAAAAACAGGGCAATTAAGGGGAAAGACATGTGCATTCCTTTCCAACTTCATATCGCCTGCAACAGTAGAGCTAACATGCTCCAGTGTGCCATAACGCTTCACTCCCATCTCCAACAGCTACCCAAAAGCCAGATGTACCCTGGCTTCATCCAGCTTGAACTCTGCTACAAAACCTTGGCAGTGACCTCATATGCTTGTTATGTAGCAACCAATCAGCACATCTGACTGTCACCCATTCACGCATTTGGGAATTTATTTTGCTTTAACGCTGCAAGTTGGCTGAAGTTGAGGTACAAAGAAAAGTGAGACAATCCAGTGAAAAGGCAGCAGAAGGTGTGATTTTTAAACACGTATTTTTTCTATACCAATTCATTTTTCACCAAACCACTGTGGAAAAATTAGATTTCTCATGAAAATGAGATTTTTACAAAAGAAAGATTTGAAGCACCTGTTAAATTGAACTCCGTAACACAACCCTGCTATGACCTACCCAAGCTAACTGATGGTATCTTCCCCCTTTTTCAAGAAAAACGTAACAGCTCATGCTCTAGAGAAAACTTGTATTAGCACAAAACATACTGCAGCATCGTACTTTGCCCCAACTATGCTAGTTGCTTAGATAAGTTAATGTACAAGTTGTGATGCCGCATCCTTGCATTTTTAGGTTTGGTTTTGTTTGCTAATAGAATCTGTTAACACACAAAGTGTCGCCCAGGCCTTAAGGCAAAGCAATGTGCTTCTAGCCCCAAGGCAGACATTTGGGTGGAATATGAGACCTAGTGCATGTGGCTGTCTCCCTCTAGTGGCTGACCCCAGCAATGGTAAGAACTTGTCACTTCCTGACACACACCGTCCTCCGTAAATGGGCTATGTCTCCCCCTTGTGGATCTCAGAGGCCCCACACCAAGCCCCGCCCCTCACTTCCAACCCCTTTCTTCCAGCAATGGAACTACTGTAGCTGCCTTTGTTTTAAATCTTGTCTCTCTTCCTCCCTTCTGGTGGATCGCTGAGGTTTTAACCCCTCTCACCCTTCTGGCGCCCACCTTGTCAGGCTTCTTCTGCACCCTCAGAATGGCCGATCGCCCGCGAAAGCACCACAGCAAATCCAAAAGGTGCTCAGTGTGTGAGGCTCCCTTTCCAGGAACATCAGAGGGAGAACTGTGTCCTATGTGCTGCCAGCCCGCCTCCCCTTTCTCTGTCACAGGGTTGGGCTTTGAGTCAAAGTGGCGCGATGGGACCGTATCTCCTGCACGTAGCCAGGACTCCACCGGGGAGCCGTGGGACTCACAGGAGGAGGAAACTCCTCCACCATTGCCACGCTGGGTAAGTTAAGCAAAGCCCCCTCTTATGAAGGGAAGGAGTTTCATAGGCTCCTACTCCAACTCCTCAGGCAGGTGCTTTCCTCCCTGATCTCAAAGCCCTCACGTCAGTTCATCGAGATTGTCCGTCCACTTCAAAGATGATGCCCCTGTCCACTACCTACATCATCGGGGCCTTGACAGACGCTATGCAGTTTGTTGTGAGTAACTGATATGTGCCACACCTTTTCTATGTGCGATGTGCTACAATTGCTAAGAATTGGACACTGATTAAAATGCTGGAGTTGTGTTTATGTTGCAGTGGGTGCAGAGTTTGAAACGCACTCTTGTCCAGGCAGCCCTGTGCTGATATTAAATATGCAAGTAGCGCACCTCATGAGGAACCCAGGTTGGCAAACAAACCTAGTAGGTGGCTCAGCATTCACAGGTCAAACATGGTCAACCTGTGGAACTCATTGCCAGGGGATTTTGTGAAGGCCAAAAGTATAACTGGGTTCAAAAAAGAATGAGATAAATTCATGGAGGATAGGTCTGCCGATGGCTATTAGCCAGGCTGGGCAGGGATGCAACCCCTAAGCCCTTAGGTGTTCCTAAACCCCTAAGCCCTTAGGTGTTCCTAAACCCCTGAGTGCCAGAAGTTGGGACTGGATGACGGGGGATGGATCATTAGATAATTGCCCTTTTCTGTCCATTTTCTCTGAAGCATCTGGCCCCAGCCACTGTCCGAGACAGGATACCACTGACTGGAGCCAGTATGGCCGTTCTTATGATGCACATGATCCAGCGCTTAGGAATAACTCTGCCGTAACAGACTCAGCCTGGGCATCTCGCGGTCATGAGTGTGACCCTCCACTCTAATCTGTGGCCTGCACAGCCTGAGAATTAATGAGGGACCCTAAAATGCGAGGGGTGGACTACTAGCGACCCTAGGATAACAAATCTCGTCTGCAGAACCCAGAGCCCACCAGTAACCCTTTTGTAAAACTGGGCCCCTCCGAATCCCAGCAATGATAAACATGGAACCCATCAGCAACCCTACAATAACAAACCCAGTGCACAGGGCCTGCGACCCATAAGTGATCCTCCTCTAGCAAACCCAGCCCACGTGGCCCTGGGTTTAGGGTGACCAGCTGTCCCGATTTTATAGGGACAGTCCTGATTTGGGGGGCTTTCTCTTTCATAGGCATCTATTACCCCCCACCCGCTGTGCTGATTTTTTATACTTGCTCTCTGGTCCCCCTACCTGGGTGTGCAGTGACCCCGACAACACCAAATGTGGGGCCCACTGGTAACGCTACCGCAACAACTTGGCACGTCAGGGCCGGGGCCCACTGGCGACCCTACAATAACAAGCGCAGGGCACTAACCCGGGGCAGCCAGTGACGCTACAAAAACAAGAAACCCCTCCGCCCGCAGCCCTACGACACCCAGCCCGGCGGCCACGGGCGACCCTACAATAACCAGCCCGGCCCGCGGGGGCCGGCCCGCGGCTTGGCCGGAACGCTGGTGCCGGCTGCGGTTTCCCGGGGGCCCCGCTGGAGCCGCGGCGCGCGGCTGGTCCCTTCCCCTGCGCTCCGGCCCGACACGCAGCGTCCTGGGCTGCCGCCCCGCTGGCGTGCGAGGGAGCCGGGAGCGGCCGCGCCCAGCCCCGCCTCGGCCGGCGAGTGAGCGCGGAGCGGCCCGGCAGGTCAGAGCGGGGGGCCCTGGCTGGAGGGGCCCGGGGCCGGGGGGGACACTGGGCTGGGGGGTGCCCTGTTCGGGGGGCACACTGGCTGGGGGTACCCGGTTTTGGGGGGACACTCGGCTGGGGAGGCACACTGGCTGGGCGGTG